CTAGTTGCAGTGTTCTCTAGGCTTGTAAAATTTGAAAACCGCTTCCTATACCATATCGTACGTGTTTGATCAGAGAACTGGATTCTGAATATAGACAGAACAGCATGTACAAATGCTACAAGAAGAGAACAACAGGTTTTGTGTTAGAAGAACCCTTCAGCATCGGCTCCATTTTCATGGGAGGTACTTCTCCCAAACAATTCCAAAAATCCCAGTTTGGATAATGTGGTTATACGTTTCAGAGTCACACTATTAGGTATCATGGTAGTTCGTCATGAGCAGGACTCAAGGCTATATAATATTACAAGAATTACTAGAATAGCTCGAAGTTAAAAGAATAATATTCTTTCAACTCCGAGCTTTTGTGGAACTAAGCGCAGAAATTATGGAATTTCGGTCGGAGTCCATTTTTCACTGATGCTAGCTACCCAACCAGTTGATGGTGGTCAAATTTTTGCTAAGCAATAAGCTAGCCGCAATAGGTCCGCCGAAATCTCAGGCCTCCGACTACGAATATTTGGCGTCCACAATGCTACGAGAATATAGGACTTTACTTCAGCCGAATCACTTAACGAGCTATGGTGAATAATGTGCGCTTCGAAAAGTTGTAGCCACTGCATAGTAGTTCCTGCACGAAAATAGCAACAAAGGAAGGGTACAAAATCGCAGATTCGTTTGGTGATGCTTTATACTGTCTATAAATCAACTCAGGCTGATCAAAAGTGCTCTACATTCTCAGCTGATGTGAAAAACTATCTTTTTGCAGCTTTGCAGAAACTACCTCTACTTATGTAGATGGAGATCCAAGTTTTTTGGAAAGCTAAGTTATCAGAGGGTAATTTTGTAGCAAAAGTAGCAATCCGAACAAAATCAAATTACTAATTCTACTATAATATCTCGATCAAGCTCAGTCGATTTGTGGGTGTCCCGACATATATCAAGAATCAAAATCTCAAAGCTTGTTTTGGTTCAGAAGTATCTAATATTATACAGGACTTACAACTGAAATGTATGTAATTAAAATACGCTTTCGTCAACAATGCGATGATTGGGATTCTGTTTGATGTGAACGGCAGGCTAGCTTTTATAGAGAGACATATCGGCTTAATTTATTGGGTTTCTGGAATACCTGTAATTCATGAGTACTAAAAGTCGCAGACAAGCATTTTTAGACAGTATTTTTACTCTTGCAATAGTTTAGAGTGATTAGTGTTGATACATTTACGCCGTTGGAAATTTGTATGGTCATTAAATTGATTTTTCTCGAGTCCGCATTAATCAAACAGAATAATGAGATAGCGGTAAGGATCCAGAACGTTCGCAAACGGATTTATCATATTCTATTCTTACGATTCTCCCGTGGCCGTCAAACCTCCGAGATTCCTCGTGAATTGCTTCATGCATAAGGACAAAGCTCAAGCGGCAGCATGAGCAATTTTTCCTTCTGTCCCTTTTTGCAGAATAAGAACATAACGTGATCTGTTGTTAACGGCCATATAAATACAACGGCGTAATTCTTAGCACCACAGGACACGCCAATTTGTTGCGAAGCAGAAATTTGCTTTGCAATGCGTGATCCATCATGCAGTTTTTATTACACCTGTAAATATACTTGAGAGCCAGCAAACTAGTCAAATAAAAAAATTTCTGCATAATAAAATCTGGAGAGTTATTGCGTGCACTAAAATTGAAAAATGATAGCAATGTTACGGTTTCAAGATCAAGTCGCCCAGCGCAAGAATGTTTCCAAGGAGCATTCGGAACACTCTTTTTCAATTGGGACGGGGTGAGGTGACCTAGAAGTGAACAACAAAGTGTGAGCATATTTCACGTTTTCGACAAGAAATTGTCAGAGAGTCAGATATATCCTTTCACATACACACATCAGATTTTTTTCGAAGGATAGATAGCCCTATTTTGGCCACCAGACAGTTTACGTTCTTGTTGAATGCAAAAGTCGGAACGATTCCTTTCTGAATAGCGAAAAATATGCAAAAGATTTCGTACAAAATCGCTCTTGTTGATGAGGCGTTGACAAGACTTATATGTTAACCAAGAGCGAGCCATGCGATTAAATTATCGCTATTGAACAAATTGTAAGCGGCAGATCTTTGATTCACTATGCATTTGAATGTTTCGAAAGTTGTAGACTTCCCTTTTTTGACAGATGGGAAAAGTACAATACCGCTTATATATTGTGAGGAAGAATCACCGCACTTCGCCGGAGTTTGCCGAACTTCGCGTTGCATAGCCATATCTTGCTTCAGAGTGAACGAATTCTGAATCCAAAAACAATATTCAACTTAGCTCGACGAGATGCATCTTCCAATATATGAAAGTGCCTGTTTGAGCACATTAGTCGATCAAATTTTACGGATCCTTCCAGATTCTTACTTAGGAAGGTTGATCGTTGTGCGATGATACACTGTGAGGTAGCCTACCGTGAGCAAGAATCTGGAAGGATCCGTAAAGTTGATCGACTATCGTGTCCAAACAGGCACCTTCGTACATCTAAAATGCATCTTGTCGCGCTGAGTTGAAAGGTGCCTTTGGATTCAGAATTCGTCTACCCTGAAGCAAGATATGGCGATGCAAGCGAAGTTCGGCGAACTCCGGCGGAGTGCGGTGATTATTTTTCACAAACTACGAGCGGTATTGTTTGAGAATACTCCGAGTTTCATAACACAAACATACATTTTGTAAAATACATTTCCTCCAACAGCAAGATTCTCTTTGGTTTGTTTTGGCGCTTTTATCTTGATATTAGGTTGTAATAAAAGTTCGGCCACTAGAGGTCAAGCTAATTTGTTTTATTTATATCTTCATTATGAGTAACTGTCCATCAACAATAATTTGCTCATGAATACTAACAACGTTAGAATACTGATTAAGATACCATGGATGCTCTTCTCGCGCTGGCTGCGCTTCGATACAGATGGAGGGTCCAGTTACTTGGATGCTGAAAGGGCTAATAGGCTATCTCTTGCTTGGAAAAAGATCCAAGTAACGGAGCAAATAATGATCGATTGTAAGTTCATTCGACCGATACGAAGTGCATAAAACGGTTTTTCACAAACTTCTAAGTTCTGCGCGTCTATAATCCACTTGTGCCTTTTCGCAGACCTAAGCGCGTCAAAAACACCTTCCCAAATCACCCTTGCATTAGCATTTAATTTTGATAATTATACGAAGAATTAGCAGAACTTTCTTCAAAACCTAATATATGCTAGTTTTATTTTCACGTGGCACTCTGAGGTACTCATCAAAAGAAAATGAAAGTTCTTCAGAGAAGTTGTAGATGTTGATTAGTCGTGCCGTTAGAATCGAGTCAGATAGATTCTTTAGAAAAAAGTGAATGATAAACATACACGAAATGAAATAAATTAAATATAGCAATTTTGGTTTGAAGGGGGGGGGGGGGGAAGGCTTGCTTTGGGAGGACCCCTTAGGCTCGTAAGCGTAAGCATTCTGCATAAATGGAGCAATGTGCCGCAACAGTTGAAAATTACTTTATACAATGATTCTGGAAGGAAGAAACTCAAACAGGCTACTGCTGAAGACAGGACTTACCTGCGATTCGCGCATGAAAGTGTGATCAAATATTAGGATATTGTAGGGATAATAATCATCTACACCAGTCTAATTTTAAGTAAAAAAAAGATATTGTATTCATGTTCACTTTTTTATAGTATAAGTACCTAGGCGTCAATTTTTACTACAAAATCCTTCCACGTGACACCTCAGGAATAAGGATATGATTACATCACTACTCTTTTATTTTCCATCAAAAGTTCGCTCAAATGGAAGCGCTTTGACAGAAGTCAAGTCAAATCATGGTCAAATCATGGTTATCACGTAAATTTCTGCTCTGTAATGTCAAGTTTCGTAAATTTACTCATCTCCGTCACGATTTACAGAGCGTTTTTAAAAAGTTCAATATTTACCAGATGCTCATTGCGCTAGTTCCAAGTTTCTTGTTTTTGTGCATCGATCGTATAGCTCCTGCCAGACTTCATTCATTAACTTCGTGACGAGGTTCACGATGAAGTCTTGTCTTCACCACAGCGCTGCAGCAATTACCAAGTGATAAACAACTCGACTACAGTTTTTTCGCAATTATCTTTCCTCTTTTTTGGGCAAAATTTCATAAAACTATACCATGTTTTTCTTCTATCTTATCAATTCCGGTAATTTTACCAGAGCGTAAAAAATACAGCATTTTCACACCGTTTTTTCAAAAAGTACAATAAAGAGTACGCGTACATGAGAACATGTGCCATAAAAAGTGACTGGCTATTCGAAATGAATGCTGTTTGAGAGCGAGATATTTGCAGATATTTGCAGATAATTTTGATTTAGACAGTTGCGAAATTTCGGCAACATCATGGATGTGCGAAACCAATAAATGCGCAACTTGTTCTAAGCGAGTTACCATCTTTAGTTCTGATCACTGGCTTTACACAGCAGTTTACGCGAACATCCCGAATTGATGCTTTCTTTATAAACAACAGTGATCCCAAATTTTTCTTGCCGAGGCCTATATCGTTGCAGCAGAAGTCTGATATCGCTACCCGAATCATATCAACCAAGTTTACAGTCGAAGGCTGTGATGCTCAGTAGATGTCCTGCAACGAATTCCGTCTTCGAAAGGATTAAATATAACTATTAGGTAAGCTGCATAAACAATAATATTTAATCGGCTGAAAAATAATCCCATTTTGGCATATAACTCTCAATGAAAACTTTTCTTTTTGTTTTTCATTCATGTCGAGGAAGTTGTTCAAAGCTTTTATTATCAAACCTTCTACTACCACATAGCTGATACTCAGAATTTCCCATACAATTATGCCCCAAGATGTCTAAAATCTCAAAGTTCAATTCTTCCAATTTCTAGACTTCGCTTCTGTGCCGTGATGGATGTAGAGATGAGTAATTTGTTTCTACTTCTCAAAAAGCGCAAGTGCCAAATTTTTATCAATAAAGGACTTCCAATATCTTTGTAAAAATATACATATCTTCGCCGTTGATCTACAGCAAATTTACAACAAAGCTAGAACCTTACTAGCCACTAACTACGACAATGGAATGATAAATTGCAAGTTGTACCCATTTTGTATAAAGGTACAAGACTAGTTAAGAAACCACTAGACGGTGATATGGCAATGATACAGAGTAAAATAAACAATAGAATTCTCTAGAAACAATGAATTAGTCAGTCCAGGGGAGTCGCATCATGAAGAGCGCACTTTCAACTTCTTTAGCTGTTCTCTTTCGGCTCCACTTTCGGCCGGCTCACATTCAAACGATGCAAGCATGGATTCTTCAAAGGACCAGTGATTAGCAGATAAGTTATATCGGATAATTTACAAGCAAACCTTTTTCTCCATACAGCGGAGAAACTAGCAGATGTTGTAGCACAGATGCGTTCTTAGGGAAAGTACATGTGGATTCTTTCCATCGTACTACCGACTGTAACTGTTCAGCGATTTGAGAGTATGCCTGAAATCCCGTGGTAAAATGGAAAATCAACCTTTCAAAGCATACTTTATAGCGTACGAAACTTTCCCACAGTTAACATATCATTCTATCGTTATAAAAAAACCAATTGCGTCACCTATTAACGTTTCTTCCTCCAGATTCCAGTTATACCTCACATGTATTATTTTCTCTTTTCATGGACACCCAGACTTATTCTTTATAGACAGAAGTCGTTTCTAATCAGTTCAGGCAATCTCTATTAATCTATGGTCCCAAAGACTCACTACAAAGTTCAAATGTCCATTTGGCAAATTTCGCACGCTGCCATGATAGACCAAAAAGAGATCCTTCAGCAGGAGAACGAAAAACGGAATAACGATCTGAAATGAGTTCATTCAGATCTTAGGCACGAGAGATAGACAAAGGTTGATCTTGTACCTTTTGCTTGCTGCCAGCAGTCTCGGCTCTCCACTGCGCAGCTTTCATAGTAGCCCGATAGGAGAGGAAGTTTCCACTGGGATCAAGCTGATGTTGTAGGATTTCGAGTTTCGACTTCTCAACTCTGGCCCACTGAAATTCCGAATTGAGAACAGGGAACACTTCCATTAGTCCAACACAAGGGTCATGCGCAGATTTTTATTTGTGAGTCCTTCATTTTCAACAATTCTGTGATATATTTTCAAAAAAGGAGCCTTCTTGATGGGTTGAACGATCATTCTACACATTGCGACGATATTCGTGGGTGAAAAATTCTCAAACTTTTGGAAATTTTGAACTGAATAAAAAAATCGAGAAATCCAACAAGGTCTGAATCTCTATGATTAATCATAATATTTGAGTTTTTTTTTGTAATCCTTGAATGTACTCTCTCATTTTCTCGACCTCAAAGCAGATTAACCTGATGTGATAGTACATGAATCATAGATAGCAAAAGGTACGTGGTTAGAGAAAATTTTTTCCACATATTTTCAGAACTTCCCACATTCAGTTACATATTCTGACAGTGCGCAATTCATGCTTTTTCCAAAGACGAAAACTCCTTCTCCAAGTTCAAAATCCTGTATGGAGCAAATGGGAGAAATCAAGCCACTTACAGTCCGTTTCAACCTCGTAATGGCTGGTAGTGACAGTCCAGCGACAATGGCCATTAAACTGTTGAAATTGCCGATCTCACAGCATTCTTTGGCCACGTCAATGAGAAATTCAATCACCTGAAATGTACGGACATTTTTCATTCTGGAAGTTTTGCACGGAAAAAGTTGTTGTTACCTCGACTCTGTGTTTCTTACGCAGCTGTCTCAGCACTTCAGTAGCAGCAAAAGACGACAGCCTATTGAACCATTCGATGTAGTAGGATATTGAACCCATGGCGCCATTCTGAGAAGTATGAAGTTCCCAATTATGAATTTGACAATGAGAAATTTTTTTCTTAACACTTACCCTATTTCGCCCAAGTTCTGCTAGATCATTATTTGCCAGCGCTACCAAAATTTCATCTACTCCTACCATGCTGAACCTCTCCTGAAATGCCACGATAACTTGATATCATTTGGAAAAAAGTAACAAGAAGTTACCATTTCGATATGGGTCAGTTGCTGTGCTACGGTTTTCGGTTCCGGACAAACCGTGATCAAGCCAGACTAAAAATGTAGTTCATTTCAATTAACTTCGTCTGATTAATGCCACAATTGGTCGCAAACAGTTTCTAGTTGTCGATGCATGGAACGAGCGACTTCTACGTATATAATTTTTTTTATTTGAGTTACAAAGAAAAGGTTGAGCTAGTACGTATGCGCGACTTTTCTCGGCATTAGCGCGCAGCAAAAACATTTACTGCACAGTTAAAACAATGCTTGGCTGATGGAAAAATAAATAGGCACGATTATCAACCAAGCTGAAAGGTTGTCGAGGATCAGTTTTTATAGGATTCAGGTACTTTAGGCATTGTTCGTATACGAGCGATTTTTGAAATTGTTGAGGACCACTGCATAGCCCCAAAAAGGGCAGTTCAAAAGAAAGTCAACGAACATCTCTCAAAATAGAAAAGTAAGGAATTTTGATGACAATGCTATCACCGCTTCGGCAGGCCCTCTGTAGATTGCTAAACTTGAAAATTTCTCCCTTTGCCCAGGTTTCAATAATGAAAACCTTTTTTTATGGTTTTCTTTATATCTGACGGCTATAACGAAACATGCTTTCCTATCTAGAACAGATTTCAAAAAATTCCTCGGCGTTTTTATGTAGATTGAACTTCAAGGCAACCTACTAAAATATCAGATTGCACTGGTCGCTGATCGTTCTCCTTCAAAGCCTCCTGCAGGCTCCTCGCAGCCTTATCATACTTGTCCAACTTTTTGATCTGAAAAAGCTTTACGTGCGATGAATAGAAATAAAATTAGTTGGATAGTAACAGACTTGAGATTTGAGTGTGCTTTGCAAGTCGGCAACTTTTTGCTTGAAATTTCTATCTACAGAGCATAAGCCAAGTAACTCGCTGAGCCTATAAAAACACTATTACTTCTGAAGGGTAGGATATAACGAATACTAGTGTTCACCTCGTTCTCATATGCTCGTTTCGGAAATCGTGTGGGATATTGCTTGCCCATTCACGACAAAGTCGCAACATATGTGAGAACATGCGGTCACGACCTTCTCGGCAAAAGTTCACTGCGTCAGCGTTTTGAGTGAACATGCACTGCTGAAAGTAGAGTAGTTGTAGGTCGGAGATCACTTCAATTTGTCAACACGTTAACTTTCTTTTCTCGATATTTTGCCAACATTTGGCTTCATTGAGGCCGTTTACGCCTTCAGTGTTGCCCTATTTTTGAAATTAGTCTTCATAACTGTCAAATTAACCAGCAACAATGCTGCACATACGAGGCAAAAGTGAGAACATTCAAACAATCGTACGAGAGGCATTATTCTGAGTTCAAAATTACCAGTTTGATACATATGTCTCGAATCAAAAGATATAGGAAATCTGTTTCAGAACTGACTCAGAAAATTAATCAACTTATACGAAAACTCTATGCACATTGGATGTAGCACTCTATGATGCACATTAAAGAAACAACCCAAAACAAAGTATGGAAATCGAAGAAAAAATTTGAAAATTTTTTCTTCAAAGAGTCGTGTAATCATCACAAAATACTTTTGCTAAAAAATACATCACAAAGTCAGGATTGAGGATAGATACAGACCGAACCGAATGATTCGATTTATGTGATACACCAGTGCACCAAAATAGCATAGGCAGTAAATTTTATCACATCTTGTTCCTTGCGCTAGAATGAATGAATTTAGCATTATTATGATTACTAACCATTAATAGTTAGCGACTGAACTTTATAGAAGCACAGAGTATTGTATATTAGCCGTACCATTGATATATGCCAACAATTAGGAAGCGCATAATTTCCTCCTCACATATCAAAATGAACAAATTTCGTTGAAGATGGTCGTCGCTACAAGATTACAAGACTTTTGCCACTAAGATTACAGGATATATCATCACACTTTGATAGTCCAAATTCGAAATGAGATAGGCATAGAACATATAATGTCAAACTAAGCACATCAGACGTTATTCCGAAAACAGACTGGTCTTTCCCTTCTCCTCCCTTCCCCCCCCCCCTCCCCCGCTTCAATGATGACAGCTTTTGCAAACACTGCTTTGTTAGTCAAATCTTATAATGCGACAATCTTGACAGCTGAGCAAATCTATCGTTGCTAATGACACTTCGCTGGACCTTTTGTTGGACAGTGGAAAAAATGCAAAAGAATCGGAGCCATTTTGGCCCCAATTTAATCAGGGAATTCAAACAAAATTCCAGTTTTTTGCCATCTAAAACAAAGTCGAAGTTTCATCATGACGATACGAACAGTTGAATCAAAGAATTTTCTATATTTTTGGGGATCACTTGCCTCATTTCTTAGATTTTCTTTCTCATTTTTTCTTAGATTTTCCAGTCTTTGGTTGCTTTAAGACATATTTTCATAAGCGTGCATCTTCTTCAAACCCTAGAAATGTCTTTGATTTCGTAGTGAAGTTTATATGACAGCACACAACGCCGTCCAATGACGATATGTCACTTCGAGGGAATTCTCCCGAGAGTTTTGCGCTGAAGACGAAAACCAGAAACTAATAGAAATTAGTTGAGTGAAATTTGTAGCGACAAGGGCTGTCAACGCAGGCACACGTCGTTCACTCACTTGCACAATTTTCTGCATCAACTCCTCCGGAGACATCACCGTTCGCAGGTTCAGCAGAAGAGTGAACATATAATTCGCATCCGGGACACCGTCCTTGGTCGGGAGAAGACGAGCGATCAGTGCTTCCGGAGAACCACTCAGCACATTGCCCATTGGGTCCACAACAATGTCCTGGAACACAGGTGATAATAAATTCTTCTTTGGATAAAGAAGAACCTCCTTCTTACATTTTGATCGAATTTATCGCTTCTGTGTGTATTCAGCTCCAGATCGCGCCGCTTTCCCGACGACGTCATCATCGGTGAGGCGGCAAGCATTCCAGACTGAAAAAAAATTATGCTAAAATTGCACAAATCTGAAGGAGGGTTCTGAAAACCTGATAAGGCGGCTGAAGAGATTTGAAAAAATATGAAGTGAGTACTAGAATTTCGAAATTGCGAAAATTTTTTCTGGGCGTGCCATGGTCATCGGAGAGTTTATGAATCGAGTACATTGTGACTCATCTATATGCTCTACCGCCTTCTTAATCAAACATAGACCCAAAAACATCGAAATACTTTGCCTTTTTACCGCTAATACTTGATTCAGTATATATATAAATAAAGCGACAGAGCCACGAAAAAAAAAATTTGCGCCCTTTCAAGATGGCGCCGATATCCACAGCGATTCTAGATTGGATGTGAACTCATGCGCAAAGAAATCACGAAAATCAAGTGCAAAGATTTCGAAACGCCCAGTGAATGTGTATTAAAACTGCGAGTGAGTAAGAATGAAGGAACAAAGAGGCTCGCGCATGCCTTGAAGCGGAAGACAGGAAGCTAGCCTATGTTATGCATCAGTACCCTCCGAATACTTGAACAGGTAGAGAGAAAAGTTATGGTTACTGCGAAGGGAGCTCTTCTGAATATGTGGAAGGCAGAAGGCGTTACAGTAAATTTTTGATCTGAAATGTTGTTCAGAAAACTTACAAGGGCTGATTGTATTAAGTCGTACAAAAGGTTCTCTCGACATTTGACCGATTAGATAATTCCATGATAGAGGAGTTGACATGTAGTTTAAGTCGCATTCGATGCATTTTTCACTGTATTTTAGCAATTCATTGCACGCTTTAGATAAGCATGAAAGTTCTAAATCTTCTTATAGACTTTTGAAACAGATTAGGGCAATAGTGCCCTAATATAATAATCTAGACTCCGGACCCTTGATAATCGTCCCTTCAAAGCCTCGAGCTTACTCTAACAGTAAAGCATAATCAAGGACACGAATGTCAAAAAAATGAGGGATTCAAAGCTCACTCATCATTGATGCTGGAAATTAAAGTTTGTAATCAGCGCTTTCACCTATGAACATTCATATCCAGTTGAAGTGTACATTAACTCGCTCTACTTTAATGCGATAAAATATGAGCAAGCTTCAGAGTTGTACTGATAAATTATTTATATCCATATACAAAAAGTGTGAATGGGTGATCCGGCTATTGCAAAGAGAGGAAAAAACTGCATCGATCATATCAACGATCAGTTGAGTGATTAATAGATAAAGAAAAAATCCTAATCGCTATAGAATCACAAAAAAAACTCAAAAAGCAGGTCAGAAAAAATCTCATAAACAGTACAAATGTGAAAAGTGGAGAGTCATAATTCTCGGGAAAGGGAAAGGTAAAGGAAGAAATTTTCCTGAAACGAAGGGAGTAGCGTAAGCCATTCTTCGAGAACTCTGCAGCTGTTAACTGTCTAGTTACTAAATTATTCTATCTGTGCAGAATTCGAGAAATATCCGGAATTACAAAATATAAATTATTTGCATACAGCCTACATAGACCACTTCTCATTCTCTGCGGGAGTGGGAGGGGGGGGGGGGGGGGTGAAGGCGTGGCTGAAGCGCAGATGAGCCAAATCAGTTCAGGGAACAATTTCTTCCAGTTAAAAAAAACAGATTTTTTACAAATCTTCAAATGCAATACAACTCTGATGACATTACTGCCTTGCAATCAGAATCAATAGATGACAGACCTCAATCTTCGTGTCTCTCAAGATCTTGTTTATCTTCCAAAGCATTTGAAACAAAGCCGTACCATCGCTTGCGTTCATAGTTAAAACTTTTTTTCCTGGAGGATAACACCTCACATATTAAAAAGGATTCAATATGCAGAATACATTTTCGGAGTCATTTCCTTTGTATACTTTACTCTGACTTTGCAATACAATAGCGTTAAATGGAGCTCCACAAAACTGAGAATGAGAAGGCCAAAAAATGTAATAAAAGAGCTTCGTATAATCAACAGATTCAAATTAGAACATTGGGTTTTTAACGTTTGTATAATATTTTGATGTCAGCGAGAAGAGGTAAAAATCAAAAAGATAGTTTGCAATGGAGAATTCGATCACAAGCTGTTTCAGCTGCAAATGAGCGAACATAAATTATGGGAAAGAAAATAGAATTGGACATTTCCGTGGGCACAGAATGCCGATAAGCGCTAAAAAGCCTCGATCATTTGCATTCCACAATGTCGCACACGCTGGCAATTAATGAAGGCTGCAGAAGGGAAGGCTGTGGGAGGGCTATGCCCTCAGGGACAACAGAGTGGTCGTTTACGAAATGATACGCTGAATCAGTGCGATAAACAAGGCAATACTTTAGACTGAATCGAGCAAGTTCTAGAGCGAAATTTCGATTTTGAGTAGTCGGTTGGGTATTGGTGAGCCGGGGTGTGAGTAGTTGCTTCCTGTGAAGGCGCCACTACTAAGTAATGAGATGCGCGTTCGCCTTTTGCGAGCGCGTTAATAATTAATGATATGTCGACACTCGAAGAAACAAAAGCGGAACACACAAGACGCCGAAGCACCGGAAGCGCACCAAGCGGGCCCGAAGGACCTCGACATGTACTATGTGTGTGGCCCTTGTTATTTCCTTTCTTATGTTTTGCGATAAGATAGCCAACCTAATACTAGATCCAATAGTGAAGCAATGAAAGGAGGTAGAAAGTTTAGGACGTGCACAACAACATCGCAAATTGAGAAGGAGTTCAGGCAGTCAACAGAGCTAGAATATTGAGGTGTACGTGAGCCTTTTTCTTGCCCATTAAACTAACACTATGCAGATATTAATGCCGATAATAACAATCTAAACAAAACGCATTGAGTGGCAAGAAAGCATTTATGTTGCAAAAACACATGCTCCATTCAAGAGGTATTTTCTTGCATTCACACTATCGTATCAATCCCTCATCACAGAGAGTAAACGCATTATTTAATAATAAACGGATTCGACATCTTACCTATCTGTTACTCTCTCTATACAGAATACTAGGTAGATATACGACAATGCTGGATTGACAATAGCGAATATAGTTTGTATAGATGGCATATAGAAGAGGAAACAAAATTCAAATAAGATACAAATAAAAAAATTGCAACATACCCTACAAATTTATCTAAAGGAGTGTGCAAGAATCTAAACAAAATCCCGATGCTGTACTGGTTGGTAAGCATGAACATTGGAGTTATAACACTGGAATATGAGCTCAAAGATCTCTTTTTGAATAGGGTAAGATAGGAAGAGAATTCATGTGCAGCAAAAATCCTCAATTATCGGTATACAATACCGCTCATATTTTTTTGAAAAATAAACGTGAATGTATGGGCATGTATGGACATGTATGGACACGTCTTATGTATTTTTGAAAAATAAACGCGAATGTATGGGCATGTATGGACATGTATGGACATGTATGTACATGGCCATATATTCGCGTCTATTTTTCAAAAAGGGTGAGCGGTATTGTACTCTTGCGCTGTTATTCTGCATACACTGAAATATGTCGCATAAAAGAATAAAAGCCACCCGAAGTTCAGGTTACATACAGAAGAAATGTGACATTTTTTACTACAATCTCTATCAACTTCTATTTTGTTTTGTTGTCAAGTGAAATTAATGAAGCTCGAAGGCACACTGAAACATGCTCACTGTTTGAAAAAAATCATGCTAGGGCACTCGATTACACAAAGAGACTTGCCTATTGTTGATTAGACCCATATAGAAACTTTTTTCTCTCTTTTCTTTTTTATAGAACTTGATTACACACTAATGCTGAGCTTTATCAATAGAAATCCCTTCTTCACTGATGCAAACCTTCTCTTTTCTTTATTTTCGAGTGTACGTTGGAGAAAAGCCCGCCTTTTTGAACTAGACCTGCGCCGAGTTTAGAGCGTAGATGTATGGAGTCTTTTAGGAAAATCAAAAAGGATCATCGGAAAGTTTTCTAATGAATCTTGAAACAAGATGAAATAAGATTGCATAAGGAGTTACGGAAATGAAAACTACAATCGCTAGTGCTTCCTTTGGACTTATGAGCAGTCGAATTAAAACCGCACCATCCTCGAAATGATTTCCATCAAGCCCAAATGTGAAAACCACACGCGGATGCATCTAGAAGAATTATGCCTTGAATGTTTGCACGAACCAGGCCAACGAATACGTAGTATTTGCACAGGCAAGGCGAGAACCCGACCGGGAAGAAGACGACCCCCGGCACGAGCCGCGAGTAACCTGAGAACTTCTAATTAGGACATTCACATGGAAATGAGCGGGGTGAGAGCGAAGGTACGCACTTCACATTTGCAGAGCGAGATTCGAGGGTGCAGGTCATTTCCAGTTGTGTGGAACTAGTTTTTAAATGTTTACAAATCAGAAACACGACAGAGCCAATTTCAAAGAGATGAGCGAAGTGCATAAAAAACATCGCAAGTGCGGCAGAATGATTTCAATTCATAAAATATTGGTGGAAGCAAATATTCTACTATCGATATTTGAAGTCTGCACTCACTGCAGTCTCTACTAAAACGATTTGGGAATAAAATTACGCGAGCTTTAGTTATTACATGCTTGGGCTCGAAACAGGAAAGGTATATTTCATCCCAGCAAGATTTCTATAGAGAAGCCTAATACTACTTATCCCACGCCCTTCAGCTTGACGTTGTTTGTGGAAATTCTCAGGAGAAATTGCTATACTACTCACAAATTCACAAGAACAAAAGCATTTTAGTTTTTGTCCGTTTTTTTCTACATAAATCCTCGAACTCCAAGAAATAGTAAAATTACGTATAGTAACGCTAAAAAAAGTATAACTGTCACGAAAAACTTATAAAATGCATTCTGCCTCTTTCCTTTGACAAATCGAGAAAGAACTGAAGCTGCTTGTTTATAGATACATGTCCCAGTTTTCTCTTCACCGCAGCGTTTTCTCAAAGAATGAGGTGAAAACTTCACAACTTTTAGATGATCTCCGCTCATACGCATCGAGCAACTATGACAAACACTAATT